TCAAGGGTTCTGCACGGAACCTCAGTTTTCTGTACCATCCGAATGACTACACCTTTTTTCTTGCCAGGTCTGAAGGCTTACACCACTGCCAACCCAGGATGAGTCAATAGGGGGACGATTAGGTTAACGTCCGTTTTAATTGAATCAAGTGGTGTGGGTTCGATCCCAGCTTATTACTGGCCACCGTCGTGCTAAAGACCTGTACACGTGCAGGCTAATTAATTGATGGATTAGAGAAATATCATATGTCGACGGTGTTAAAAAAAACTCAACTAGAACGCCCAGGGTCACATCCCACTTGTCCGGGATCCCTGTCAGCGAGAGGAGTGGGAGGTCGATGAATGTTAGAAGGGCAGAATCTGAAATGCCCGAAAACATTTCGGTTTACAGAAAGTAGTTCCGGTCGTCTGCGAGCGGCGAAGGAGGCCATTCCCGCAAATGCGTTTTCTTGCTGTTCCAGCCCATGAATGCAGCAACTTCAAAGTGATCTAATGTACCCTTACTTAGGTAGATGACTCGAATACCAAATCATTCACATTCCACGGAGACGGGAAAGTCGGGAGAAAATTTTGAAACTTTAACTGCCGCAAACCTGTTTTCCTGGCTCGTACACCTATGAGAGAGAGAGAGAGAAAGAGGGAGATTTCGGGACTAACATGGTTTAATTTTATGTAAAGGATTCGCTTAAGGATCTTTAGAAGTGGGAGGTAACCGCAAAACCCGGGGAAAACTTATGAGGTTGGACACTACATCTTGTCACGTACAAGCGGGTAATCGAAACCATGCCATTTGACTCAATGACAGACCTTATGATCTAACGCGCTCGCGTTAACCATTCGGTCACGCAACCCCAAGCAATATTTGGAGAATTAATCTCTCAACTAAATATCCGCTTCAACCACAAGGATATTAAAGATACATTGTCACAAATGTATTTATCAGGTGGTTATTTCCAGTAACAGTATGACATGATATATGAAAAGTTTAGACGCCCAATCTTACTAGGAAACTACTCGATTACCGTATCATCTCAATGGAAGCGGACGTAAATTAACCTTGATATTATATCAAGTATTATAATATCAAGGGAGTCGCGGTGGCTCAGTGAGTAACGTCTATCATAGAGTCAATTGGCGTGGATTCGGTTCACGCATGTACGTGACTAATACCCCGTTCAGACGCTTATTTTTAAACCAGTTCAAAATCGCCGGGGTTTTTAAGACAGCGTCGTGTTGCGTTCACACGTACTATAAGTCAAACCTGTTTAACTATTCTGACCTCTTCGGTCGGAGGTTAGAGTTAACTATGCATGCGTACATACCATTTCCTGGTAGAATATGTAAACATCCTGTGAAAAAAAAATCCGCGAAATTTGTTTCTCTTGCTCTCGGATAGTTTATACACATTTCCTAGAAATGAATACTAATGCTTTGAGACATAGAATTAAACAGTTTAGACAACGACAGAGTCAACAAAGGTACTTCTTTCTGATGCTAATGAGTGTCACTTCTGTGATATTCATGCCAACCAACAGGAGAATATAGTCACGGTATCACAGTGACAATTGGTGGAATCACGCATACAGGTTTGGTTTGATATATTCATATATATTGTTTTAAAATTTATAATCATTATAATGTAGTCAAATATGTACAGGACAAGGTGTATAAAACAAATATTAACCAAGGGGTCATCAATTAAATATTTATAGAAAATATAACGTCCCCCCCCCCCCCCAAAAAAAAAAAAAAAAACAATCTTCACACAAATAGGCCTGTGTTATTATATGTGCCATATAGACAATTTTTAATTTCGAATAATAATAGTTGCATGCTTAAAAGAGCTAAATCGTTAATATTTGGGATCTAGAAATTGACACTTAAATGGGTCGCAACACATAATTTCTAATTAGTTATATTCGTCGAAATACTCTAGATGTCTAAATCGAATGGCAATGTCTAGCAACTGGTTATTCCAGTCTACACTGATAGTATTTATTGTGCATGCTCTCCAGATAAGAATATGACTTGTGGGAATATGTCTAGCCTCGTTCTTCTAGTCCCTTGTTACAAATGACACTGAAATGCATTACACAATTCGTGTACCAATGGTTAAATGTTTGTTTTGTCTCAAATATTGGATATCAGAAACCCATCTTTTCCCCGTTAAGATCACAAGATCAATGTTGATTGAAATTGACAAATACTTTGTGTTTTCAATGTCGCAGATTTTGGATGATATTGACTACTTTAAGTTTAATTATTTACCTAATCTAATTCCTTTACATTTTATTTTCAGCTTTTATGATGATATACAGTATTTAGAAAACTTCAGAATGTCAAAATGTACATTTGAATATCTGTGCAGAATTTTGAGACCATTTCTTGAGAAACAAGTAACAAGTATGAGGGAACCAATATCTGTTGAGCGACAGGTAGGCTATTTTGCATTTTATGATCGCTGTATTGGTTGAGATATTCACTTCTGCTTGGAGAATATAAGAACATGCAACACATACTATTATTTTCTATGTTGGCCGCCTACTGATTTGGATTGGAAGTAGATATTTGTTTGTACATGTAGATGGCCTTAGTAAAAAACAAATCTAGTTTTGTCAATTTAATACTAGACTGAATAATAGATTTTATCACTGAACTAAAATGATTGGAAATATTGAGAACAATCTTCTACCCCTCCCATTTAAAGTATGGTAACCCTTTTTTTTTTAGGTTGGCATAAGTTTATGGGTTTTAGGGACCAATGCTGAGTACAGAACTGTGGCTGCATTATTTGGGGTTGGCCGGTCAACCGTGTCTTCAATTATACACATATTTTGTGAGTCCCTGATTTCGATCAAGGACAAATTCATTAAATTTCCATCAGGTGAAGAACTGAATAGAGTTGTAAATGGGTATCGGTCGAAATGGGGATTTCCAAATGCAGGTGGAGCAATAGATGGCAGTCATATTCCTATATTAGGACCGAGCATGAACCATGCTGACTTCCATAACAGAAAAGGGTGGTATTCCATCATTGTTCAAGCAGTTGTGAATGATCGTTATGAATTCACAGACCTAAATATCGGGTGGCCAGGAAGTGTTCATGATGCACGAGTCTATGCAAACTCCAAAATATATGCAAAAGGGCTGTCTGGGACATTATTTGCCGGCAAGATGATTGATGTCAATAATGTGCGCCTGCCTATCGTCTTGTTAGGTGATCCGGCTTATCCATTATCCAACTTTCTAATGGAACCATACACAGACAATGGTCACCTGACCCAAAAACAAAAGACATTTAATTATAAGCTAAGTAGTTCACGCATGACGGTAGAAAATTCCTTTGGTCGCCTAAAAGGTCGCTGGCGCTGCTTATTAAAGCGATTGGATATGAATGTTGACAAGGTCCCCAATATTATTATGACCTGTTGCATACTTCATAACATATGCGAACAAGCAAAAGACCCATTTAGGGTTGAATGGCTAGAGGATGTAGCAAAGGAAGAAAACCAAATGTCTCAGCCAAATCAAAGTAACGAAGAGGCAATCAATGCAGACTGCACTAACATTAGAAATATCCTGGCTGAATACTTCCAGGAATAATTTAACCTTACAAAACAAATAATTAAGAAAGTAATAATTGGCCATACTGTTACATACACTCACTACAAAGAATTTCTATGTGTATATGCCATCTTTTGTTTACTTTTATTGTTTCATTTTGTGTGTTTGCAGAAAACTAAAAAATGGTCAAACTAAATTGGTTTATTTTCATAATAAAAATCATACAACAGAAAAATAACTGATAATCTTATAACACAGTGGGTCTATTATAACTATATATGTGATCAGCTCTTGCCAAATGGTTGCTATGGAGTTCAATTTGTTTCCAAAATTTTCAATATCTTCTTTCTTAAAAGTAATATTATGGTACATTCAAATTTAAATATTCCAAGCATATTTCTAAGTCACATACTAATTTAAAGGTATTTGGATACAGAATTTAAATTGACACCTTTTGGCATCTTGATTTTTGATCCATGCATCTCATTAAGCCAGAGTTGGATTATATAATAAGAGGTCCAATTGTCATCTTTGTTGTCCATCATTGAAGAAGTGTATGTAATTAAAAATATACAGTGGACTCTTTCACTTTCAACATTGTACAGGACCGATACAATGCCGATTATACACCATGACGGAATACTTAATTGTCTCAAAACCGCAAGTATTATTGTACCTCGAATACCAAAGTATTATTTTAATGCACCTTCGAATACCCAGAACTTAAAAATATGATAAACCTTTCTGTACATTTGAAACTTTATTATATAAAATTATTATGTGTTTACTTTGGGTGCGTACAAAACACTTGTGCGTCGTTATGAACAAAATATTATAATGATAGTGATTCTTCATCTCAGCAATTTATATTTAATGTTGCTGTATTTGACGTGAAAAAATCAAATGAAATACCAAGCACTCTCTTACAAGAAATTATAAAATTATCAAGGTTTTATTAACAAAGACTGACACATACTTTAAGCTCACCGATAATTGATTGCTTGTCGGTTAACACCCACTGATTGAAGGCCGGATTATCCAATGTTAATTCAACAGAAATCGTTTAACGGGGGTCCCCAGATTGGTCTAATAATTCGGAATATTCCGAGTCCACTGTACAAGCCTACACTATAAAGTTATTGATCAATTTTTAATTTATGTCTTTCAATTAATGTATTAAATAAAAGAGAATTTACCATTTTTGAAAACATAACAGACTGTTTTGTTCTTATTAGGGGCTTATCAATTGACTTACAAAGAAGAAAACACCCACCTCACACCGTTTCGCATTATTTGATAACGATAAGAAGCCAAGTCAAAACTTTGCTTTAGATATAAACAAGGATTGTCCTGTGTATTCCCAGTTCAATTGCTAAATGCCATTGAAACAATTAATCTCATACTGGTAATTTAAATTCATAAAAACTGAATTAATAATTAAAACATGGAAATAAATTTATTAAAACTTGAGCCATGGTAAAATGGAATGACAAATAAAATTCATGTATTTGTAGAAACAAAAATAAACTGTTATCAATGACAATAATTGCGCTACATGTCAGATATTTTGGCACAAAATGGTATATCTTGAAAATAATATGATTCAGCTTCATGATACATTAAGTTAAATGATATGGATATTAATAATTAAAACATGGAAATTAATTTATTAAAACTCTAGCCTTGGCACAATGGAATGATAAATAAAACTATGTATTTCTACAAACAAAAATTAACTGTTATCAATGAAAATAAATGCTCTACATAGCAGAACTTTTGGCACAAAATGATAGGTCTTGGAAATAATATGGTTTTATAAATTTGTATATGTGTGTCCATTAGCTCCTTGTAAAAATTGTGGCTGCGGAACATGTCCATTTTGTTGTTGAGAAAATTGATGCTGCTGAAATCCCTGATTGGCAAACAAACTCCATAATCTTAATTCATGTTGCCTATCTCTTTCCCTATCCTCGCGTCGTTGTTCCTCAGCTCTAAGTCGATCCTCCCGTCTCTGATCTTCTCCAAGTCTCTCTGAATCTGCCTCCATTCTCATTCTTTTTTCTTCGAATTCAAAATATGATCTTTCTTGTTCTCTTTGATAATTTATAAAGCTGGTTGTTGTCTCATTCAGAACACGTTGAATTATATCCTCTCTGTTTCTTTTTTTCTTTTCTGGTCCTGTAAGTAAATAAAATAACTCTTTAATGTTTAAATAAATGAACAATGATTGACAATTCGGGCCTCGAAATATCCCTTCAGTAACTAACCTGTCACTCTTAATTATCCAAAAACAACCACAATATTTACCATGGTGCCGTTACACATGTACTTCTGTGTAGATACTTCAAAATGCTATAGATGAAAACTTGTGTGGATGGTGTGTTAAAGTTCTTATACAATAATTGGGCGTGGTTCTGTCCCTGGAGGTCAGGCATGTACCAAAAATAACCATATTGTAAAGGAATAATTAAATAAATGTGACATCATAATGAGTAGGCTTATTGTGGTCTGGAGTCAATTTCCTGAACATTAGTAAATTTAGTCCACCTACTTACTACCTGTCAGACCTGTCAGACCTGTCAGAGAACATTTCAAGTCCTGCATTTCATTTCCATATAGGTATACACCTTATTAAGTCACTCTTCTGTTTTGTTTTACCTATTCATGGCTACACTATTTTGAATCCGATCTTATTATGTATTAAAATCATAAACAAAATTCTTTAGGTAAATAATAGCTATATAAAGTAGTTAAGGGCGTTGTCACAGGTATGACTTTTTTGAACACCTATAATTTCTAATTTGATTGGGGGGATCACGTGGCTAAGTGGGTAAGACGCTGGCTCGCTAGCCTGGAGGTCGGGTGTTCGATCCCTGCATTGGCCGAGAAAGTTCATCTCGAATTTCCGGCGTGGTTTCCCTTTGTCAGTGATGCAGAACGGAGGGCCTGACAAGGACAGCTGCCTAGTCATTCGGATGGGACGAAAAACCGAGGTCCAGTGTACACATTGGCGTGCACTTAAAAGATCCCTTGGCAGTTGGAATTCGATATAAGAGTAGGCCGTAGCGCCGCTGCCCGGGCAAAATTTCCCTCATAGCACACTGTATGGCGTATGCCCGTCTTCAATTAGCCCAGGTTAGGTGCAGAAGAGTAGGACGTTAAACCTCATTTCATTTCATTTTCTAATTTGATTGGGATACAAAATCAAATGTTCCGTGTACTTTATAACCAGTAAACATACCATTTGTCCTGCACAACACTCATCTATACATACAGCTAGTTTTCAGTGGGATGTTATTCTAGCATTTTTTAAAATTTATATTGAATCACAGAAGGAATTAGTGACCGGTTTACCACGTTCTTAGACAGAAAGCAGCTCCAGTGTTGTACTCTTTTCAAATATTGATAACCATTTAGAATAAATAGCAACTGAACCTTTTTTTTCTGGCTGTTTACGGAGGACGGTTTCTGTAGGCTCATTTTCTTCATTTTCCAAATTGACTCTTGTTGGTTCCTCATCATTATCATCATCATCAAAATCATCCAAATCTTGTGTTTCTATATAAAAAAAAAAAAATACCATTATATAATTTCCATAAGTTTTGATTTTAAAACACTAATTCTCCAATGGCTATTATGCAAAAAAATTTGATTTAATTTGTTTTGTGTGTATATGTGAGTTTGATCCCATGTTTGTAGGCTTATATTGCCTGCCAACTATCGCATCGATTTAGTCTTGCTCCTGACAATATAATAACAATAACATGTTCGCTTACCTGAATTAATACTTGTCTCCAGAATATGTGTTGGACGGGTAGCGGGTCTGGTTCCTAATATTTTATCCATAGCGTCAAAAAACTTGCTAGTTTTCTTGCCACTCCCACTTTTATTGTTGTGGTCCTTTATTTTTTTTATAAGAATGCTTCATATTCTTTATGCGATTCTTGCAGGCGTCTGCAGATTTTCTGTACCCATTTTCCTGATAGATAGAAAATATAAAATAAATTTACTACTAGAATATGAGAAAACCGGGATTTATGAAAAATGCTTACGCTGTTATAAATAGTATTACTAAAAAAGAACTAAATTTTATTAACTTGTAATATACACAACTAAAAACAGTTGTTTATGTAACTGTAACTCGTGGCTTACTGTACTCCAAACAATAGAGGGTATGAGTCTTCAGATTTCTATTTAATTGCCTAACTATAGACACTCTGAATTTAAATTCGCTGTTAAATTGGACACATTCAAGAACACACTATTTTTTATACAACTTTTACAAAGTACAATTGTGTGCCCAAATTTTCCCAGCATTTGGTGCCCAAAATGAGGGGGGGGCGCCCCCCCCCCCCAGGTCGTACGCCTATGGACAAACAATGATAACTTGGCTGAGAATGAAGTAAATCAAGGGGTTTCCACATTTTGCTCCATCTGTCTAAGATACAAGAATTAACATTGTGAATGGGGAAATCTTTAGTGGTCTGTGACCAAATAAATAAAACTGTGCTAACAAAATGAAACTAGATTTGCCATGGCTAGATCTTATTCTTAAGGTCAACTCAATTCTCGTCGATGTCGCTGAGATGTAATAAGTAGAGCGTGTGATTGTTGGTTAGGGTTAGATTAAGTATTAGGGCTAGGTCCAGGGTAAGGGTTAGGGTTGAGATTAGCGTTAACCCTGTTTACATCTCGTGACCTTTTGCCAAACTTGAAGTTGTCCTTATTAATTAGATTTAACCCTTTGTGCCTATCTTCCTATAAATTTTACTCGAAACGAAATATAATTTTATATACTTAATGTTGCAGTGTTTTCGGCAATATGTCCTTCCGGCACATTTAACCAAATGTGAATATTTTTGGGCATGGTAGGCCAACATTAGATAACTACAATGACTTAATATTGAAAATAACTGAAAAATAGATAAATTTCGTTTCGTGTGAAATTCTGTGTTTCAAATTTGAATTTGCTAGAGTTCAAAAGGTCAATTTCTGTTTATCAGTTTGCAGTAGAGTTTTTGGAAATTTCGTTAATAAAAAATCAACAGTAAAAAAATATTTTGAGAAAAAAAAAAAAATATGATATGTAAGTTTAACGTGTTACTAGTGCAGGTAACTGAAAATTATGAATTTTGCCGTCAGCTGAAAGAAGCAAACCAGTTGTCAACATTTGGCTGCGTCGAGTTGTTTTGTTTAGATTTTGAGCGGATACTAAATCACCGGAATTCTCTTTGCAAATATCAAAATTTGACCCCAAGGCCTACCTCTGTACATATATTTTGCATTAATATTAATAATAAATAACTTAAAAACACCGATGATCACCGGAATTTACTTTTAAAAACATATAAACACCGGAATTCACTTTCAAATATCAGAATTCGCCCGCAATCCCTTCCCTGTTTACATATATTTTGCATAATTAATATTAATATTAATAATGAATTTCCTTAAATACACCAAAAATGACTACTACATACGCCTTTTAGATTTAATTTGGCTCTTTGTAAATTTCACATACCGGTAATTGTTCATTTCGGGACTAACACTTGGTTCAATTATATTTCAATAATTCACATGCGCGTATGGATTTTTTGGAGAGGGGGCAGAGGAATCGGCTTACACTACATGAAGATCTGACCAGTTGTACTGGGAGGTCATGTCAGGTGTCATACAAACGGCTTTTGACCCTATGAAAGACATTGATTAATCAATCAGCTTTAACCTTTCTAGGGGTTTACCCACAGTTCCGTGAAGATCACGCCAAGAACTCGCCGTAACAGACCGTTTCATTAGCTAATTTCTCACATCAACTAGAACGCCTGTTACATAACAACTCTTCCAGTGTAGTAAAGAAAAGAAAACAAAATTTTGTACTATTAAAAAACATGAAACGAAATATGATTTATAAAGAGCCGTTAATACCTTCAATGTGCCTAAATATTTCATGTAGCATATAGTCGATCATGACTCGTACTGGCTTTATATAACTTTTGGGAAATATTCCCCCTTATTCTTAGTTTGTTTTTTAAACGCCTACATTGAAATGTGGTCATATATTCAATTGTGTCACCCCGTCCGTCCGCCCATTCGTCGGTCCGGCGTCCACAATTGCTTATGGACGCTCTAGAGGCCAAAGTAAATATCCGATTGACATTAAATTTATACACATTGTTTAAGGTCATGAGACAAAGAAGCCTATTGATTTTCAGCAATTTCTGATAATTATTGCCAGAGTTATGGCCCTTTATCACTTCAAAATATCTTGTAGATGCTCTAGAAGCTAAAGATGATATCGGATTGACTTCAAATTTACGCGCATTATTTGAGGTCATGAGACGAAGAATCATATTGATTTTCAACATTTCTGATAATTACTGCCAAAGTTATGACCCTTGATCACTTTGAAAAATCTTGTGACTTTCTAGAGGCTAAAGTTATCATCGGATTGGCTTCAGTTTAAGGTCTTGAAATGAACAAGTATATTGATTTTCAATGAATTTTGATAACTTGAACAGCTAAATCCATGATATTAAATGTTTCGTATACTAAACGTTAGCATGGGGCAGAACTTCATTCAAACCAAACAAATTTTAATGATTTTCTAATAATTAATTGATGAGTTGTTACTCTTAATCGGATATTAGTGTATTATAATTGTTTCATTACTAAAAAAAGTAAAAATATGTGACTGCCCGGATGATTTAGCTGCTGTGGGCGTATCTTTCGTTGCCTGGTAACCTATCTTTTTCATTTTGAGTAAATCTGTTGTCTGCATCACTACAGTCCAGGGACTGTACAGGGGAGCTGGATGGCCGAACAGTTAACGTGTGCATGTTGTATCATAAGGTCTGTCATTGAGTCAACTGGCGTGGTTTCGAGTCCCCAGTTGTACGTGACAAGGAGTAGGGTCGCTCGCCAACCTCGTGGGTTTTCTCCGGGTCCTCAGATTTCCTCCCACTACTAAAGACCCCTACGCGCAAGCGAATTATTGACATAAAATTAAACCATATATGTTTGTCCCGAAATTACCTAGTTTGTGTCGAGTGGATGTTAAACCTCATTTCTCTCTCTCTCTGTCTCTCTCTCATTTATATTATGAGATAAAAAAGTTCATTGTTGGTGGCACAGAGATAAACTGTTCTAATGATTACCATGGGAACTGCCAGATCCAAGTTATAAACCATAAAACTACACTGTTTTTTAATTTTAAATGTAAATATGTTTAGATGATTTATATAGAGGGGGTGGGTGGAGCTGCAATTTTAAGGCCCTTCTGACTTGGGGAAAGCCCCACATTAATGGTTAGATTTTCGAAAAATACATTTTCCATGCATGGAACAATATTTCTGGTAAGTTGCAGCCATTTAACTGATGACCATATAAAAAGTCCCAGATTTAGGGCGTGGCCAGGTGGGCTTTAGGACCATCTGACTTGAGGAAAGCCCCAACATTTTTGGTTAGATTTTTGAAAAATATGTTTTCCAAGTATGGATCTTTGTTTCCAGTAACTTTCAGCCATGTAACTTGTGACCATATAAAAAGCCCCATTTTTAGGGTGTGGTCGGACATACTTTAGAGCGATCTGACTTGGGGAAAGCCCCCAAATTTTTGGTTAGATTTTTGAAAATTGTATTTACCAAGTGTGGATCTTTGTTTCTGGTAAGTTTCAGCCATGTAACTGATGACCATATTATTAGCCCCACGAGGCGATATTGGGTGTGGTCTGACTTGGGGAAAGCCCCGGAAATTTTGGTTAGATTTGTGAAATATTTACTCCGACTATGGATACCATTGTCCCTACAAAGTTTCAGCCATGTAACTTATGACTTAATTTTAGGCCCCCTGGGGCCTACTTTAAGGTGCTGCTGTGACTATACGCCCCAGCAGTGCCCGATCTGACCAACTGATTTTTACTTGTACGGACACCTGCTACGAATTTGGGTGTTCAAACCTTTTGTAACTGATGACCATATTATTTTGTCATTAGCTCCTGGACTATAAGGCACCTGTCACTGACAATATCAGGCACCGATTCAGGCTTTGTCAGACACTAAACCTCTGATGCCTGTCATTTTGTCTGGCACTGATTTGTCTTTTTTATTGATATTATTAATACATGTCCGGCGCTAAGTTGAAAATGTCAGGTACATGTACTCTTTCATTAGTGCCTGACATTTTGTCAGGTACACGTAAAACCGTTATTTCCAGGCAGGCCTGTGTACATTTGTTGTAAATTGTGATTTCTGTGTCTTGTGTGTGGTGCAGTAGCAGATATTGGACAAGACCAGTCGATTTACACTGGCCGAGAAAGTTCACATGGATTTTCCACAGGGTTCCCCCTAGTCACTGGTGCAGAATGGGGACGGGGGGAGCCTATAAAAGAACACTTGTCAGTTTGATTCTAAATCAGAGTAGGCTGCTGTCCGGACGTAAAAGACCCTTGGAATTCGATCGATACTAGAGTAGGCCGTAGCACCAAATGGCGTATGCCCGTCGTCATTAGTCCACTTGTAGCAGAACAGTAGGAAGCCTCCGGATAAGCGGTTTTGACGTTCACGTCCAAACGACTCAATATCGCGAGACACGGTACATACATTGCATACAAACACAGACTTTTATTTCGGAGACTTTGTTAAAATCGGGATGGTCTCTTTAAACCCGATTTCATTTCCGGATGAAACCCAAAAGATTGAACAGGTAACCTTATTAAACCTTTGTCAGGTACAAATGTGATATCGAACCCTGTATGGGTGGTAAATTTATGATATAGTTAGTTCACTTTCCTTCAAATGCAAAAATTAAATAGAACAGTTAGCTCCCTTCTTTTCGGCAGTAATCGATTTAATGGCGACGGGCTAACGCCATGATTAAATTTTTGCACGGACTCTTCATCAAGTCCAAATTTCAAGAATTTGCGAACGACTGGACGTTTTTATGAGAACTTGGACCAGTAACTGGGGTGGCGCTCTTCGAAGAACCCTAAGGCCCAGTTTTATACTACTGGGGGATACTTGGCACCCATCCATTCTAGTCACGGCTAGTTGCATATTGGGATCCCGAATATAAAGTTGAGTAAAGAATAAACACGAGGCTTTCCATTGATAAATATTAGATAGAGCTCTTAACAAATCACGGACATCAACGTATAGTCGTTTAGATGGGACGAAAAAACGAGTCCCATGTACAAATTGGCATGCTCTTTAAAGATCCCTTGGCAGTTGGAATTCGATATTAGAATAGGCAGTAGCGCCGCTGTCCAGGTTACATTTCCCTCATAGCACTCTGCTTGGCGTATGTCCGTTTTTATTTGCTCAGTCGAAGCAGTAGGGCGTTAAACCCCATT